CCTGCAGGGACGCGGGCGTGCCCGTCGGTGCCGCAGAGGAGGCTGGGAGCCAGCTCTCTGTTCCGGAGTCGCTGCCGGCCCCGGGTCTGAAGTGGTTGTGTGCCAGCTCTGGTTGTTTTCGGTGTGCTTTGGGCCCTTCCTCGGAGGGAGAGGCACTTTCACAGCCTTAAAAGACCAGTTTTCCTTGTGTTTGATCTAATACTTTGAGGTGGAAAAGGGGATCCCTGTACGGCGGGAGCTACTTCTCTCTCATGTGGGACCGCCATCTCCTAGGCAGTAGGTCAGTCCCACCGGGTGGCCACTGAGCTGATCATACGGCAGCTTAGGGCCACCCCCCCCCCCCCCCCCATCCCAGCTTTGGCCCTCTTAGCCTTTCTGGCCTTTTATGTGCACGTAGGCACACTAGGGCCGCCCGTGGGGACTGTGCATAGAGCGAGTGGGGAGAGTGCACGCTCGTGCTCGGGCGCTGTGCGTGTCCACCGCGGCTCTTCCGTGGCTTCGTGGAGCTTCGCGCTGCTCACGTGCCGGGCGCTGGCCCTTCCGTGTGTGGCTGAGAGCCTTTGTGATTGTTAGCGACCCATACGCAGCAAGACGTCGTGGGCTTCCTTCTGGCCGTTTTCTAGCTCATCTAGGATTTTGCACTTCTTCCAGCCTTTTTGGTTTCTTTCATCACTTTAAGAAGAAAGCTCTCCCTTTCATGTTTGCGTGTTTGCAGTAAAAGTATATGAAGTGGGAAGTTCTGTCCTCTCGACTGAGCTCCTCGCCAGGCACCTCTCTCTGCCCCTACGCCACCCCCCCCCCCCCAGGTCTTGCCACCTGCCTGGCATCCTCACACCGTGCGTTATGGGGTTTCACCTCCCACTGACTCTCCCTGGACGCGTGGGCGGGGCGCACACGGGGACAGACCGTCCCTGCACGGTGGCTCTCAGGCCCATGGGCGGGAAGTGGCTGGCGGAACAGAGGCAGAAGTAGTCGTCTGGGTCGGTCAGGGTCACTCCAGCACGAGCAGGCTTGGGTCTCTCACAGTTCTGGAGGCCGGGAGTCTGAGATCACGGTGCCGGCAGGTTCTGTGTGCGGTGGACACCCGCTTCTTACTTTATAGGCGGCTTTCTCCTCACCCTGTCCTCACATGGCAGAAGGGAGGAGGGAGCTCTCTGGAGCCTCTTTAGAAGGCTGCACCCCTGAGGCTGCACCCTCCTGACCTGCTCGCTTCCTGAAGACCCACCTCCCAATACTGTCACCTTGGGGTTAGGTGGGTTAGGTTTCAGCACAGGCATTTTGGGAGACCGTTTGTAGCAATAGTAAAATCAAACTTTGAACTGGTAACTAAAGGTTTTCTTCTGTTTGTTCTCTTTTTTTTTGGCTGGTTTCAACTTCATGCATTCGTGTCTGGTTTTCTCTAGAATCTCATCCTAACACAAGAGAGGTCTTTCGTTTGTTTTTTTACATGTTTGTGTATTTATTCCGAGAGAGAGACTTGTGTGAGAGTTTACTTGGCGCTGAGTTATTCTGCTAGGGGTTAAAATCCCAGCGTGCTCGGCAGCGAGTTGACTCCTCCACTGACCCAGGTCAGGACCTTAGACAGGTGCTGGTAGTCACTTCATGCATCGGGACCATGTGGTGACTGTCCGACCTTTGCGTCCCGTGGCAAAGGTCCTTCCTGCAGATGACCCGGCGCAGGTTCTCGAGCAGCTCTTCTTGAGCAGAACCGGTCAGCGCTGGGGGGAAGGCGGGACGACGGGCTCGCTGGCAGCACGTGAGAGTGTGGAGCCGGAAATCTCCCACGCCCGCTCTGGGCCGGCTGGTCCCTGGGCCACCCCAGCGCGGTTCCTGCCCTGCTCGGGTGACGGGCCCGTGGCTTTATCACCGCGTGCCGCGGAGCACTACATCTTGTTCTGATGGGGCTAGTGTTCTGCCCGTTGAACTTTAAGAGCAATGTAAAATGGAAACAGAAAACCTTTTTCTTTAAAAATAGGCGACTGTTGCGATCCCTATCAAAATCCCAGGGATGGTTTTTGCAGAAATAGAAAAAGCCATCCTAAAAGTCAGACGAAACCTCAAGGGATCCTGAACAGCCAAAACAGTCTTGAAAAAGAACAAAGCTGGGGACTCACACTCGTTGACTTCAAGGCTTACTACAGGGCCGCTGGAGCCGAACACCACGGTGGAGACCGAATGAGATCGGCAGAGATCAGAGGAGAGAGAGGGAGGAGATCAAGAAGAGACGGGAGGCAAGAGGTGAGGAGGCAGAGAGAGGAGAGGAGGAGAGGAGAATGAGGAAGGAGAGGACGGAGGCAAGGAGAGGAGGATCGGAGGCAAGGAGACGGCAAAGAGAGAGACGGGCAGAGAGACGGGGCAGAGAGACGGGCAGAGAGACAGGGCAGAGAGATCATAAGAGGAGACGGCTACAGAGAGACATATATAAATAAGAGAGACGGCATTTATAGAGACCCAATGGCAACAGAGTTTCCAGAGGTTCTCGGGGAAAACCTTCCTGTGTGGCAGTTTCCAAACGAATTCCGACTCCAGCTTCATCACCCTGAACCCATTCAAAAAAGCCAACAACACCGGAGCTTCCAATCTGGGAGGTTTCTCGTGGGATCTGTTCGTCGATCTAGAGGTGTTTACCATCTGCGTTGGCTCTTTTCAGGAACAAAAATCGTGCCCATGGGTGGGCCCCACAGTGCAGGAGGCTGCTGGTGGCCTCCGTGGGAGGGAACCCCTGCTTTGACAGAGCTCCCTCCACCAGCCCAAGTCGCCTGTCTTTCTGGCCCCTTTTCCTCTGGTCGCCCAGGCTCAGTCCTGTCCCGGCACAGACCAGGGCACCGCGTGCTGCCGTGTGTGCCGGACCCCCCTCCACCTGGATGCCTCGCTCCTGGGGGCGGGAGGTCCTCACGGGAAGGCCGGTCTTGGTCTTTCCCTGCCCCCTGCCTGTTTCTTGCCCTCCCCTCCGGTCTCTGTGAGCGCCCCGGGGCTCCTGACCCGGTGGAGCCTCTCCCTTGGCCGCGCCCTGCTCTGTTCACCTCACCTCTGCTGCGGTCCGTCCTTGCAGCGAGGCACCTTGGCTTCCTGGCCCCGGACCCCGCTCCCAGCCGTCACCACACGTCCTCAGTTGAGGCGAGGATGAGTGCCAGGTGGGGCCACGGCTGCCAGGTGCCGACGAGGACTGTGTCTGGGCGGGTGGAGGGCCCACCCGGAGCAGGGGAGGAACCCTAGGACAGGGCCGGCAGTGCCGTCATTTTACCGTCCAGCCTCAGCCCTTGGGGCGAGGTCAGGTCGGGAGAAGCGTGGGGAGGGCTGTGACAGACAAGGCCCCCTCGGGGCGGGGCGCGCCTGAGTAAGGAGAGGGCCTGTCAAGCAGTCTCCTCTGACCGGTCTCCCTGGGGAGCCCCAAAACCTCCCGGTGGCAGCAAACTCTGTTGTGATAGGACCTCTCGGGGCAGGAGAGCTTCTGGCCCGGAGACCCCGGCCACAGCACGAGGGCCACCATCTGTTCACTGCGGGTGTTGCACAGAACACTCCTGGCACCTGCTGACGACCTCGTGCCCTCACCCGCTTCTCACGGTCCTTTCCTGTGCGAGGCCCGAGAGTCTGGGGCATGAGGAGTGGCCAGGCCCTGACCTCCCGCGTTGGGGCAGCCAGGGGTGACTGTGAGCTGAGTCACCCCATAGAGAAAGCAGGTGTCAGCAGGCTGCCTGGGCGCGAGCTCCCCTTCCAGGACCTTCCTCGATGGTTTCTCTGGTCAGTTGGCACATCCTTACCGGACGATGATCCTGAGGGCCATGGAGACGGTCGTGAGCAGTCACATCAGTGACCTGGACAAGGACCTGGCCAGGGCTGTCATCTTCCTGGCCTCCAGCGAGATGACCAGGGTGAAGGTATGGGGGGCACCTGCCTGCTCGGGGAGGGGAGCTTCTTTCCTAGGACTTTGACCCGAGCGCATTGGGAACGTGGGCTGGCATCTGGCTGCCTTGGGCCGGCCGCCCCTTCCTGCACACTGAGTGCCCTGCTGGGATGGGGAGGCCCGCCCATAAGTGTAGAGGTGGAGCTGGAGCAGAGACAAACTTCTGGAAGTCTCAGGGCAGATGCAAGGGCACCGGTGCCGGCCCCCCAGCGTGAGGAGGACGTTGCCAGGCTCTGCGTGGGGCCGGCTCCCGGTGGCAGCACTTTCCTCTCCCTGCAGGTGGAGGGGGCAGGTGCTCGGCTCCTGGGGGGAGGGGGGAGCAGGGGATACTGGGG